GCGCCAACTTGGAGTCATAAACTTGAAAACACTAGCCTAGTATTTTCAAGTTTACTTGTGCATGTCATCCATTGACAGTGTCCCTTTAATAGTAAATTTAAATGAGAATCAAGGGAAATTCAAGAGTGGAGGGTGAAGGCTAAATAGAGGTTCAACTGTATCAGTAAATAATAAAGTAAGTTTGGTGTTGTTACCTCTGTCAATACATCTGTAGCTCTTTTTTTACCAACAGTTGTTTTAGTASTTGTTGGTTTATCTTGGTTGTCATCATCACTGTCACTATCACTCAACCTCCTCTGGATTTTATTRGAGCCAAAAATAGAGCTGAAGATGATCAAATCGAACATTGAATCATGATTTAAATTAGCAAAGTAATAAGAGAGTTGGATAGTATTGCATGCTACAAATCTTCATAGAACCAGAAAAACATATGGTCATCATAACATGCATTGTCACCATCATYATCATCAATGTCGTTAAACCCTCAGCACTCTCAGYAGAAAAAAGAAGACAGCTGATCTAGCATCCTTACTCTTACCTGACAAGTGCTTCATCTTCTTCTTCTTCTTTAACCTTCATGTCTTCTTCATATTTTCGATAGATTTCCAACATGGATTCATAGTTTACTGAAATTGAGGTATAATGTTAGAAAACCAAAACAGGCCACTGGATTGTGACAGAAATGATGTTGCAGTTCACGTTAAACAATTCCTCTCTTCCCACATGACTGTTTTCAATGTCCAATCAACAATGTTCTTGCTTGTCACCTTGTCATCACCCAGCATGTAGATGAATCTCTATCAATATTAACAATTATTATCGTTAGTGACTCACCATCAGCATGCCGTGTGTTTAAGTCTCGGAGTTCTTCAAGCTTTTCAAGAATGTCCATTTCCTGTTTAGACTCCTTGGTCCTATTCTCAAGAGCCTTGGATATTTTAAAAGAAGAATGTATTATCCAATATTCTATATTATATGACAAAAACAAATAAATAATAAGCATAATAATGAAACATACTTTCATGGGGTTGTTCAGCTCTTCATCTTCTCTTTCTTGCTTGGCTGCCTCTTCTTGTCTTTCTAACATGAGTTGAGCCTGGAAATTTCTCGTTGCACCTTTTTCACAGACATAATCTGTATTTTCAGGATCTGTCTATGATGACAAACCCAAAAACCTTGTTTATATGTTATCAGAATGACATTTTATTCTATAAAAAGCTACTTACCTTGAAAGTGATTTCTGATATGCATTTTGGACATCTTATATAAAATCTGAATATGTACAGTCCTAGGTAGGTCTCTCCTTGAACAGTTTCCTTATCAATTAAATAAAAATTCATTAATTAAAGATTTGGATATTTATTGTAATATGATCATTGTAAAACAATACAGCCTTTTGCAAAAAATTATGAGAATTGTTGAAATATCTAAATATCATAATATCGAGTGCATGATGGGTAATCCCGCTCGATGCCCTTAGTCCCTTGTCTTTGTAGTTTAGTTTTTTTTGGCGACAGACTTATTCATAGTTCTGAACATTTTCTCTGAACATTTTCTCGATGTCAACAATGAATTATTCTAGCAAACCCTCGTGTTCCAGACAATATATGGATATGGATATTATGATATTTAGATATTTAGACAATTCTCATAATTTTTGCAAAAGGCTGTATATCCTGAAATCTGTCAATATTGCTTTTCATGTGTCATCATCATCAATTGACAATCATCATAATCATCAAAAAGAGCCTAGCTATCTGGAGTGTTGTATGCTAATATATTACCTGTTTTTCATTTTAGAGCATGTAGGTGTGTTAGATAGTTGTAAAATAGGCTCTCAACAGGCATATTTGTAAGCATAAAAACTTGGATTTTTACTTACCTTCCTTGCATTGAACTTTTTTCCTTTATAAATATATTCCCCACATGTTGTGCACCTGTGAAAAGGACAATAATATCAGAAACTATTTTTATAATAACTTGAAGATTTCTCGCATGCTGATTGGTTGTAAGCTATTATCACTATGCTTGTGGTTCCACTTATATTAAGTTTTGAGCATTTTTGATGTCAATTTCATTGTCAATAAGAGTACAGACAATGGAAAACCACCTTCGAATTGTTAAATATAGAAGGTCACTTTCATTAACAAAGACCAATTCCTATACACCCTTTTATTAAGTCCCGAGGTACTGAGTTCTCCGCACTTGACATCAAATTTACATGTATTCTTTTAAATTTTTACAATATAAAAGGAATTCAAAAGGATAMATTTGACGTCAAGTGCGGAGAACACAATACCTCAGGACTTATYAAAATGTTGTATACAAGTAAAAAAGAGCTTGAGTAGACAAAAGCAGTTAAGGACTATATACCAGTCCAGTATTTCATTCACAGAAGTAGTGAAGAATGCAGATTAACAAACGCTTACCTCATATTGAATGGAGCCATCAATCTAACAACATACTGTCTGTCTTTAGCAAGCTTTAACTTTGGGATTTTTGTTGGATCAAAATCAGGTGGATAATATTTCTACATACAAAGCATAAACAAACATGATCTGTTATTATGACTGATATTAAATCACATTAATTGACGACATTATTGATAAGAAGGCTACAATTTTCAAACTGGGAAGATAAAAAATTGACAAGACATAACGTCCATAATAATGAAATCGACATGTAAACAATTGAGCAATAAGATCAGATTGAAATGTGATCAAAATCTTTTTAGCAACTTAATAATATAGACATGTAATGAACTCTGAATTCCATACTTACATTTAAGACTTTTCGTTCKGACATCTTGGAAAGATACTGTTTAAATCAATTTACAGGAAGTGGTAATTAAAATGAAGTTTTTGACGAAAGTAACYGATATTTTTTCGTCTAAGTGTTCACATGTATTTCTTCTTCAATCGACCTAGAGCAAAAACTGCCAGGCTACCTTGCTTTGTAACAAAATACCTCCCCACGGTACCCCCGTACAGTATATTCAATGTATCGAACAGCCTTCTGGTCGCCGTTTTTTTCGGTATATAGGGAAGAAATAGTCTCGATTATATCAGGCATAGTCGAATATATTTCCCAAAAAGATTTTAACATGGAAGGGCGTACTTGTTAAAAATTACAAATACTGGAAAACTAGTCTTATTTGATGCTCATTGCTGGAGGAAAATAGCGTGGAAACTCTCAAGATCTCGGTGGACCACARGAATATACAKAAGGGGAGACGACGAGTGARACGGTCAACCACCTATACCYAAGAATTGATGTCATCGTAATAATTCCAAAACAAGCAAACGGATTTTCACTTCTAAGCTAAAGAAGATCAGTTTGTTTTAAGGATTGTTTCTGTTTAATACCAATCGACACAACCATTGTTTTGAACCAAAAGAAAATCGTAAAGTCACTTTGCGAGTGTCATGCGAACTGCAGTTACTTCAAGAATATAAACAACRTTCGTACGACAATGAACCTTTATCGTAAAGGTAAGAATAAAATGAACACTCCCTTACATTTCATTATGAGTCTTTAGATTGCCCCTGGGATATAATACAGCTTTCACATCTTAATATCGCTTTCGGTGCCATTCATTCATTGAATGCGATGCTCACTATATTTAAGAATCAAATTCTCTACACACACATGCTCACCTAGAAAAATATACGATTTAAAGATGATTTAGTCCTGATGAAAGCWTAATTGAGGTCAGGGAATGTATTTCCTTTGGTAACCGCAAAAACAGGGCCATCGGTACACARATCCAACACAAAATGTCATTGTAAAATCATCAGCTCCAGAAATTCGCTTTTGTGACGAAGAGAAAAGAGCTCGATTTCCAATTTTATATTATGAAAAATAAATAAGACGATCTGAATTCGAAATAAAATATGAATTAAGTAGTTTTAATTCAGCCAAAATTGGTGGCATTTATCGATTGACGGCAAGCCAAAAATTTTATTTCACTTGACGGAACGAAAATGTATCGAGAGATTTATCGCGATTTCAAATACTACTGTAAAATATTARCTGTAAATTTATTTGGTTGAAATTCATATTTTGAAATCGACAAACAGAGGATGGTGAAATTGACAAAGGAATACACAATGACGATTAAGAGTTCTGTAAACAGAAAAGATTCGCTTAAATTAAATATGTTCAACATTGAAATTACAATTTGCAAGTCACTCAGCGAAAAATAACTCAAGAACCTTAAGTATAGTATTAGTCTTCATAATTGATATTAATTCTTCTGTTTGTATTAATTGAATGGAACTAGTGACTAACCCGGAAAGATCTCGCAAAGGCTACAAAAAGCCAAACATCAAAATTATGAATATATTCATTATTCAATCAGCTATTAAGCAACCAGTGGGAAAGATGTCATGTACAACTAATGTACGWTGTTCTTGTCGCTTTGGAACGTGTAGTGTGATCATTTTATAGATGGGGATTTCATCAGGTATCATATATACCATTTACAATATATCAGTTAACATGACGAATTTCATCCCCTTATCATCACATACATCAGTTCTGTTTAGTGTCTTCCTTCGTATGTTAAGCACATCTGATAGAGTCACTGTATTTAKTACAAGTTTGTACTCATATACACTTAGATTTGGGGTGAATCAGTGATATTTTCGTATGTGTGTGACCCGTSCTACCGTGCTATAATGCAAGTTTTGTTGCTCATTTTTTGCCAGATAKTCGTTGAATCACTAAAAGGTTTACAAAAGTCTTGATCGGGTTGTTCACATGCAAGGCGATTTCTAGTAAGTTCATCACTACACTCGTTATTTGCRTGAAATGTTCTCCCTATAAATTAAATTCCCATTTCGTTTTTTTTTATATCTTCTATTTTTCATCCATTTTCCATTATTTGTTCATGTTGTTATGTACGCACGTCATCTGTAAATCATGAAGAAAATCTTTTAATCCAAATTGTATGCATCTTAATTTTAATACCGTCATTTTATTGATCATTTAATGTATTMMCATCACTTGATTTGAYCGMTTTTGGCCCTCTTCTCTACATACATGGAGCAAATTCTCGCTTTATAATAGATATATCGAGCTAAAAGCATTTTTTCATTGCATTTGCGCAAAAGCGCTACGTATTTTGATCATTTTTTGAGATTTTCTGTTGTAAAGGTTTTGGGCACTTTAATCCCATATTAAAAACATGATCACTTCGGCGAAAGTGCGAAGTACCATCCAAAATTATTTGATATTTATTATTTGACATCAACTAGGAAGTCTTTTCTGCAATTAAAAGCGTTATTATGTTTACTATTAAGTCTAAATCAAGTCTTGATTGAATAGAAATACAAAAAATAATACTTAAGTGTAATTATACACCGCAGACCGCAGACAATGCAGGCTACAAAACAGATAGTTTCGAAACCATTTAGAATATATCTTTTTCGATTGGGAAGCGGTTATACTTTGACAATGCCCTTATTTGTGACTGTTATCCTTTATGATTTAACAATATTTATATCAAAGATAGGTAAACAAATGCACAGAGTGGTTCACCAAACCCATGATTACAGTTAACGGAAAAAAATGGATTTCACTTCTCTATTTTCTCAACTATCTATAAATTACAAAGAGTGTGCGGTTTCGCCTTGAATTTACCTAAAAAAAACTTGTAAAGAACTAACAAAACTCTGTTTTAATAGGATGTCAAGAATTGTAAGGAATTGAATCGTGAATCATGGAGAGTGGTATCCAGAAATGCGGATACTTGAAGATCAAAAGGCCTCCAACCTCTGGGAAAGTACGAATCAAGGTATGATCTACTATAAGGCATATATACGAATGAGGTAGCAGTTGAAAKTAGGACTCTCTTTGGACTCACAAAATAATGAAAAACAAGGGCGAGAACCGCGAAAGTCTGCGAGATTATGTGGGAAAAACTCAAGGGCGGATCCGAGGGGTGATTAGAAGGCTAGCCACCACCTTTGTAACGTCCAGGATGCGTCACTGATAATGTTTGATTTGTGATATTACATGAGTTTAGCGGATAGTGATTAATTATAACACCAGTGTCAGTAATGTCATTCTAACGGTACCTTATGCTGATATTTCTAGGCCTGGCAGATGAAATATTTTGTGCTTCGAAATGTCCCACCAATATTCGAATACTTCAAAGATGAGCTGTCCTTTAATCTTTCCCACCACACTAAAGAAAAGAACAAAATAAACTTAGAAAACGTCATCCACATCGGCACAACAGACGCGTCCAAAAAGCAACGTAACGCATTCATGATTGTCGACTCTGAACACGGTGCCATTATGCTAGCGACGGACTCAGAACAAGAGACAAAAGAGTGGGTTGACATGTTGAATAAAGTTTCTGGAAGAGGAGCATCGGCCACCAATTCTCCAAATATGGGAGAATTCACATATCCAGAGAACCAATCAACTTCATCGCTTTCAAGTCTTCAGAAGACGTCGACATTAGGAAGCCCTGAATCTGTTTGTTCACCGTCTCTGCCCAGTGAAAACTTTCAAGGTGTGAAATGATATGAAAAATTAATGGTTTATGCTGAGAGTGATATAAACAATTATTAGTTGACGCTGAGTATGATAAGCAGAATTATTGGTTGAGGCTGAAGATGATTTTCAACTGTTAGTCGATGCTAAATATGCCGATATATAACAGTGAATTATTCCACGAAATCACGAGTCTTTTGTAACGTATTATTTCACTGTCGTTATCGTCATCATGTAATCAAACCACATCAATATATATATATATATCAATCAATCTAATATTTTCCAATATTTCTCAGGTTTCAATGTTACAACTCGTCTTACCCCTTCATCGGAAAAACTAGGGATTCGTGATGACTACACAATGTACATAACCAATGATAACGTAGCAATACACGACATCGATACAAATGTACTTGTAGTACAATGGCCCATTGTAGGGCTTCGTGGATGGAAAAGTGAGCCTGCAGACGCTGCTGGACGCAGATGTACACAGCTTCTAACGCTCGAGGCAGGAAGGTACAATGGTATTTGTGGTCTTTAGGCTATTGATCGTTTTCATCCATTCCCATGAGATTCAAAAGATTAAAGACTGGCGGCCATGTTGGAGGAATGAACAATAGATACTAATGAGAAACCGTTTGTTAAAGTTCCTCCAAGATGGCCGCTGTGACGTAACCTGAAAACGAAGAATATTACCCATTACTGCGCTCTAGACAAAAGCTTTTCACTGCCTTATCTTCTTGTACTGAAATGCTTTGTTGAATGAGAAATATACCTAAATATTGGAGTTAGGCGTTCTAGATTTATTGTTGGGCTAAATTGGGGGGCTACAATAACCCCTCTTTCCCCCACGATGTCACTTCAAAGATCAGCTCCCCCCTGACTGATTCTATCTACTGTTTTTCTTGCAGAAAAAGTTCAACTGGCGAAGGCCTCTACCAATTCTTCACTGATAAGGGTGACCAAATCGCTAATAATATACGCGGACGATCTAACGCTCTCTGCGCAACCGCGGTTAGGGAAAAAAGRGAAAAATTCAAAGACAAGAGCAACAGTTTTGAGGATATTTCACAAGATGATCCAAGTAAAACAAAACCGTTTGTAAGAAGTTCATCAAGTGCAGTATCACTCATTATGTCTCAGAAAACAAACTTTCGTGAACGCTCAGCGTCTGATAACAATATTGTTTTCCCGAAATTACAGAACACAAGTCCACAATCACTAAGAAAAGAATTACTTCAAGATAAATTCACCAAAGATATCGCTAAAAACATCAAGCCAATACTTGAAGATTCAAATTCTTCTACACAAACTGCTGACAATACATATTTAGATCTAATYAACGAYGCTGACGCTGTGCCAATTCACATAGCTGATTCTGATCATCAGAAAAGCGTCGACTCTTTGTCTCAGAATAGCGACGAAGAGATTGTTCATCAAAAAMCGTTAATAAACACCGTTCATGAGACGAATGGTGGGCAAAACTACATCGATGATAGTGAACTGAATGATTACCGAAAGAAAACATTTAAAACAAAATCATTGGATAATAAAAACTTAACAGGACATTATGCTGATCCWAAACAAATTAAACGCACAGAAGCGCATGGTCAAAAACAAACTCCTCCACCCTCTAACACATTATGTCAAGATTTCTTGGACCAATTATCAAATCCTCAAAGTCACCTTGGAAATATATTTCAAGAAAAACAAAATAGCACCCAGGAAAARCACACGAAGGGAGTTACTAAAACGGAGAACATAGAGACTTCCTCTCTCTTGGCGGGAAATTCAAACCAATCTGCGAACAACATGAAAGATGAGTCAACTGCAAGCCAAACAGCAAATGTTAATTGTTTAGATAGCCATTCATCCTCTGAAGAGCTGTCCAATRATTTGGACCAAGAGGAAAAGGATGGCTTCATTTCCATGCGAAAACCTCAGACTACATCGGTTAGTGAAAAGCGGGTATTCCCACATGGGAAAGAAGAAGCGATGGATTTGTTAGAAAAACTTGTTTTGAATTTAGAAACACCGCAGGCATGCACGCAAGAAAGAATATTTCCTCCGCGGCCAGAGGACAAACTTGAAAARACGATTTTAACTACAAGCGAAGCACCGCAGACACAAAGCAATGTGCGTCGAGCGGATTTCAAGCGAACAATCGAGAAAAGTAAATCACATTGTGGATTTGAAACTGCGCAACAAACTGATAAACCTCCCCCTCTACCAGTGCGACCAGAAATGGGAAGAACAAAGCCTTCWGCTTCACTTGGTGATATAACTAAGGACTTAACCCGTCCATTGGATTTTCATAAAGATTTACATAGGCAGTTATCYCCTTGGAATACCAATACTCCCGCATTAGGAGCTCCATGGGGGCCAGAATCAGTTGTACATGCTAGGCTCCTGCATCGTTCAACTTCAGGGTCAAGTCTTGGCGCAGTGCGAGAAGCCCACCAATCACTGCGCCACGTGGAGAAATCTAGCAGTCCCTTGTTTGATAGGACAAGGAGCCAATCATCGCGAGGATCAATTGATTCACCTCCACCAATACAAGAAAACGAAACCTTTGCAGATGATGATGATGGGAAAAAGCGACGTGGTTCCAAAGCATCCACATTTATCTCGCGTGTTTTGAATACTTTAAATCCTGATTCTAAGAGACGTGCAAGTTGTGATATTGTCAGTAGCTGTAGCTCAAAGGAGTTTGATGCGGCTAAAAGAGGAAGAAGTTGTTCAGTAGTACCAGGGGGGATTGTCAATGAAGGGTGGTCTCCTGAGCATAGCCTGGACGTTCCATCACCCGAAGGATCACCACAGAACTTTAGGAAAYTRCTTCCTGGCGCTAGAAGACTATCACACGATCCTAATTTAGATCGTTCAAGAAAACTTTTCGTGGGCAGTCCAACCTTTGAAAACAGGAGCAAAGAGGAAATACGACAGAAAGAAAAAGCAAAAGAAAGAGAACGAGAGAGATCAGAACTACCGAACGAACCGCCACCACAACTACCCCCTAGGAAAAAATCTGACCCTCCACCCCTCCCTCCACGAATTCGTAAATCAAGTAGTGATTCCTGCGGCAGCGGTCCGTCGTCGCCTAAGAGTAGACAACMAAGTGATGCGGAAGAGGCTACTCCCCCACCCATCCCCCCACGACGCCTRGAYGATCGACGAGGGTCCCAACCAGCTCCAGCAATACACCTTACAGCGTCTTCTCCATGYGATGAAAAATCATTGGAAAGCATTCTTCCTGATCTAAATGGTATTTATTAACTATTCAACCATTATTGATTAATTACTGCTTTTCATTGCRTATATTAACATCAGATAAATCTTTTATCAAGAAAAGAACAGACTTACTAAGCTTCATTTTCCGGTATATGAACTTTTCATTCACTGCGTTAACAGATAAGCAGTGAATGAAAAGTTCATATACCAGAAAATGAAGATTGCATATTATTGTCAGAATCGCGCTTATTAGTTAACAATTTAAGACAAAAGATTTAGTACAAATTTGTAAAATTTTTGTTAGACCAATACGGAAAAGTGAATGATCTAGGTTGGAAAGCGAAGAAGGGTAGAGCAAAAACGTCCYTAACGCGCGTACCTTCCACGTTTTGTTTTGTTCTAGTGAAACCGACTATTAAAAACAGCTGGTCTCTAAAAATAATGACTTTTGCTTATGATCATTACACTGAATTATAATTATCATAAAGATACGTTAAGATAAGGATTTCGACTTCGTGCTCGGAGACTGATGCAATAGATGTAACGTGTAGTGAGACCACTTAAGGGTTTAAAATGCGTGCACGCATAAAGTACTACTAGCCAGCGGCATAGATGCAAAACGTGCCTAAAAAAAACAACATGTTGCCCAAAATACATAAGTTTTCTTTGCTTTATAGCTCAAGATGGCACGAATTCAACTTTACCAGGTGCGTCAAGGACAAAGCCACCGGATAATGATCTTGTGAGTGTGTGTACGTGTCTGTATGTGATAGTGACGTCTTAAGAATTGATAAGTTTGTTGGTTGTTTAGAGTGTGTTCTTTTACCATTCCATATTTTTTGTTTTGGCTGTTTGATTTTTATAGAGATTTCTGTTGTTGTTGTTTTGTTGTTGTTGTCGTTGAAGGTTTTGTTTTGTTTATTTTTTGGCTTGTTTCTGTCTTTTTTTTACCTTTTTGGCTTGTTTCTAGAGAGTTTTTAAAATAATTTACATACAAATACCCATTGCTACAAAACTGTCTTCTCGTATTCTAGACAAGTAAATCACTAAAAGGTTTACCACGCCCAATCCCCCTTCGACCTGAATCACGGACATCATCACACAAGACATGCGCACGAGAATTGAACGAAATATCCAAAACCAGCGCAGTGCGTCAAACAGACAAATCATTTACTTCGATAGAAATGCAACAAAAGACCGGCGAAAAACTCCCGGAGTGTGAATCAAATGATGGATCCTCTAATACGGTTAGCAATCAAGCCACAGGAAGCCCGCAAGGAAAYAGTGGAAACACAAGAAGATATAGCCCAGGCCACACGCCTCCCTTGGCTTTGAATTTACAGTCTCATAATGGTGGTATGGTACTTGGAGATTCGCCSACAAACCCAATAAAAGTTTAAATCTGTGTAACTGATATAGACGCTTTACGGCTGTGGTCATCAATCCGGTGTTTATAACCTGGTATAAATGAAAGATAACTTACATATAATGGGAGAGTAAGGAGTTTCCAYAGTCATATATGGATTATATGTGTTATATACGTACAGTAAATATGCGCTGCATAGTGGTACCGCTAACATTCATATAAGCAGYATAAATATACGTACTCTCTATGGTTGTTAAAACCGCGGGCGCAAAATTGAAAAGCGCATTTCTTATTATGTGAGATGCTTGCYTTATCAGGCCGAACGTTTAGTTACAGTACGTGAATTYTGTTGCTGTTTTGTTTGTTTTTGTTTTTCACCTTCCCGATATAAATAAGCCGTAAGTCCGTATTTTTGCTCAAAGCGATGATAGAGGACATGGTTTCTAAGCAGTAAAAGCGTCATTGCTTTCAACATGGCACGCCCTAATAATGGGGMCTAATTATGTAAATAACTACCTTAAGCATACTGTACATTTATTTATGAAATAGTTATACACTTGTCACGCGAACTAAATTATTTTCAGTGCAAGAAGATAGATCATCAAATCATTGATGCATGTTTTTTTTTTGTATTCTGCGCATAACAGAATTTATCAATAATCTCAATCCATCGAGCTATAAATGATGACATTTATATCAATTACAGAACTTCATCGTTAAACCCGTGAAACAAAATTTCACACTTGACGTGTGATTGTAAATAAACACAAAGACATAAACGAAATTAGAGCGTATTAAGGTATATTAGTGTAATATCTATTTCACGGGTTTCTGTCTAAAGTCATTAAGTTAACAATAATTAGTTTCCAATAGTATAAAATAAAGTATAACGTCATAAAATATCTAAAGGAGATTTACAAATAGTCAATAAAATATTTCATTATTATGGTTGTAAACACATGATTATAATAATATTAATAATACCGCGCTGATAGTATGAAACATATCGCGGTTCAACTTCAATCGCGTTTAATCGCGTACAACAAATCAGTAAATCCTTTCGAAAGGGGTTAATATCAAGTAAACGAAACCAGTGTTTGACGGATGGAATGTCATTATAGGCCATGAAAAAAGAGAAAAGTGAACAAAAATCAAAAAGGAAGCATTTCTAGAGGCGCGCGCGCACGCGCGAACGTTTCGGATTGAGACGTGCGTTCTTTTTTTCCATATTTGGAATTAATTCTTTCCGTATATGGTCATAATTTACACTCGATTTTRCGTCATAATAGAATTAACTCATTATCATTTGCGTGCAAGTCTTTGAACATTGCGGTCAAACACTTCGTCGTTAAACAAAATTTCAGAATTTCGATTCAAAACTTATCTAAAACTTCACAGTTTAATCCAAAACTCAAATTTCAATCAACCGTCGTGATGGTTGACAATATTGATCAGGTAGGAAGGAGCCCGGTATTGTTTCGGCTGATTTGATTCGATTGAGATTTCGCGTTTGCGTTTTTTTCTTTCACTTCAATGTCTTCTTTTATTTCTTTCCTTCCTTCTTTCCTTCTTTCCTCCTTTCTTTCCTTCATTCTTTCTTTCCTTCCTTCATTCTTTCCTTACTTCTTTCTTTTCTTACTTCTTTCTCTACTTGCTTGTATGGTATGTTGTTGATACACTTGTTGATTCATTGGTCGGTTAGTTGAATGGTTGGTTGATAGTCACTTGGTTGGTTGGATAGTCCCTTGGTTAGTTGGTTGGCCGACTGGTTGGTGGGTCAGTGGGTCGGTCGGTTAGTTCTTTGGTTGGATAGTAGGTTTGTTGGATGGTAACTTGGTTGGCTGATTGGTTGGTTTCTTGGTCGGTTGGTTGGTTGGTTGGCTGATTGGTTGGTCAGTTGTTTGGCTGATTGGTGGGTGGGTGGGTGGGTCAGTCGGTCAGTCAGTTGTTTCTTTGGTTGAGTGGTCACTCAGTTGGTTGGCTGACTGGTTGGTGGGTGGGTCAGTTGGTCGGTCAGTTTGTTCGGTCGGTTGGTCAGTCGGTTGGTCAGTGGTTACTTGGTCAGTTGGTTGGCTGGTTGGTTAGTTGGTTGATTGGTAAAGTTAGTTGATTGGTTGGTCAGTTGGTTGGGTGGTTAGTTGGTTGATTGATTGGTTGGTCAGTTGGTTGGTTGGTCGGTTGGTTGATTGGTTGGTCAGTTGGTTGGTTGATTGGTTGGTCAGTTGGTTGGTTGGTTGGTTAGTTGGTTGGCTGATTGGTTGGTCAGTTGTTTGGCTGATTGGTGGGTCGGTTGGTTGGCCGGTTGGTCAGTGGTTACTTGGTCGGTTTGGCTGATTGGTGGGTCGGTGGGTCGGTGGGTCGGTGGGTCGGTGGGTCGGTGGGTCGGTGGGTCGGTCGGTTGGTTCTTTGGTTGGATAGTAGGTTGGTTGGATGGTCACTCAGTCAGTTGGTTGGCTAACTGGTTGGTGGATGGGTGGGTTGGTCGGTCAGTTGGTTGGTTGGTTGGTCAGTGGTTACTTGGTCAGTTGGTTGGTTGGTTGATTGGTTTGTCAGTTGGTTGGCTGATTGGTTGGCTGATTGGTTGGTCAGTTGTTTGGCTGATTGGTGAGTCAGTTGGTTCTTTGGTTGGATAGTAGGTTGGTTGGATGGCCACTCGGTTGGCTGACTGGTCGGTCGGTCAGTCGGTTGGTTGGTTGATGGGATGATTGGCTGGTTGGTTGGCTGGTCAGTTGGATGGGTGTTTGGTTGATTGCATGATTGATTGATTGGATAGTCTGTYRATTTTTTGKTTGGCAGGTTGGTCAGATCGTTTGTGGGTCGGATGGTTGGTWAGTCGGTTGGTTGRTTGGTTAGTTAGTTGGATGGTTTCTTGGTTGGTTAATCAGTTGGATGCTTGCTTGGTTGGCTGTCATTTCTTCCTTCCATTTCTTTTCCATTTCTTTCCTCTCTCACAATCAATTTTAATGGATATACTTTTGTCTTTTTCAGATGCAGCATTCATGATGCGTTGCCGATACAGAACCACAACGGCAGTGGTTGTTATACCACAGTATCCCACAGAYCGYATTTATTGCATGGGATCAATAGTTTTAATCCTATCTCTYATTCTTATATGGTAAGTATGATGATGATACTTTATAAAATTGCTTTTAAAACATTCTAATTTTGATTGTTTTATCTCAATAGTTTAAAATCCAGTAGGAGAGTAAGAATTGATCATAATTGTATYAAACAAAAGAATAAGAGAAAAGTCAAGAAAAAGAAGACCCTTAAGCCAGATAAATTCATAGGTACGATTGGTCAAATGGGTTGATTAGTTAGTTGGTATYTAAGTAGGTTTTTAGTTGATTAGTTGGTTGGTGCATAGGATGATTYTTGGATAGATTGCTGGTTTGACAGTTGATTGGTTTGTTGGTCGACTTGATTGGAAATGGTTTGTTGACCAGGAAGTTAGGTAGTTGGTTTGGGATTATTGGTTAGCTGTCTGATTGATCTTTCCATTGGTTGTATAATAATAAAAGAATAACTCATTCTCTTCTTAAAATAACCAGATGAAAAGGGAGAAGAAAAACATGAAGAAAAGAAAACAGAGGTAAACAAATACCAAACACATACTAAACTAAATTGAGAACTTTTTAAAGAACAGAATGATTTAAGAAAATATTGTTGGTTAAAAGTTTCTGGTCTCTAAATGTAAACATAAGCAGAATGGCAGCTATTCTACCAATTATAGATACGTTTATCAGCAAACATTTAGCTAGTTTGACAGTTTTATCTCTGTTTATGTCATAAAACCAGTCCAAGGTGAGAGTTGTACAAGATGTACATGGAAAGGATCATGATCAAGATGCATTGAAGGAAAAGGAGAAAGAAATGCAGATCAAGGAAAAGAAGGAAGAGATGCCACAACGAGAAAAGGAGGATGCCGATAAGTCTGAACAGATGAAAGAAAAGAAGGAAGAGATCCCACAGCAAGAAAAGGAAGATGTTGATAAGTCTGAACAGATGAAAGAAAAGAAGGAAGAGAAGCCACAGAGAGAAAAGGAAGATGTTGATAAGTCTGAACAGATGAAAGAAAAGATGGAAGAGATCCCACAGCGAGAAAAGGAAGATGTCGGTAAGTCTGAACAGATGAAAGAAAAGAAGGAAGAGATCCCACAGCGAGAGAAAGAAGATGTTGATGAGGCTGGTTGGATCCAGGTATTGTTCCAGCTGCTTTGTACCATTGATTATAATATTTGTAATACTAATGATAAATATCAATAGTTATTAGTATTATAAGTAACAGATATCAACTAAAAGTTGAGTTTTTTATCAGGTTCCTAAGAAAGAGAAAAAGGTCAACATCAAAGCCGACAACAAAGAAGTCAAAAAAGGTGAGAACAAGTTATCAACAGCAGTCATACTTGTAAAGAAAGGATCAGCTATATTTAATTATGCTTATAATATTATCACTAAAGATGTGAAAGCCAAGAAAAGCAATGACAAAAAGCAGCCAGTCAACAAGAAAAGCAATGGCAAAAAGGAGCCAGTCAACAAGAAAAGGAATGACAAAAAGGCACCACCCAAAGCGAAAGGCAACAAGGTAAAGATAACTAAGATAACTGCTACATTATTTGTAGACATTTATCACATTAACACTTAATTGCTTCCAGTCTAATAATGTAGAATGATAATATCTTATCTCTATTTTAGGCTGAGTCAGCTAAAGATCACCTTAGTGATAGAAAGGGTGATAAGAAGAAGCAAATGGTGACTGTTTCAGGTAAGCCTTTCATAACTCAAACTTAATAATACATTAACGCACAGTCTGGTACCTAATCTATGATGTGAAAACTTATGTCTTCTTTTTGGGTGTAGGCTGTCCCTAATTATTTCACTATTTATTTTATAGCAAAGTCATCAAAAGAGGAATCCAAGAAAAGAAAGGATTCCCCAAAAGTAAAAGWKTCCCCAAAAGTAAAGGAGACCYCAAAAATATCAGAATCMGAAAAGAGAAAGGAATCTGAGAAAACAAAGGAATCCAARAAAASAAAGGAATCCCATAAAATAACAAAAGAGTCTCCAAAAATAAAGGARCCCMAGCAGGTAAGGACTATGAAAAGGATTCAGTCATCCATTCATTGTTCCATTCATTCATCCATTCATTCATTCAAAACATATAAATCATATCTAAATCTAATATCAATTCTAGGACAAAAAGCCTGATTCAAGGAGACGCAACAGGCGTAACAAGAAAGGAAAAGGAAACAATCAAGGTGTAGAAGCTCAGCCCATAGATGCACCTATGATTAGATCTTATGCCGCAGTAAGTTAAACTAAAATACTTTATCAGTTTGAGGAATATAATATACTTTTTATCAAAATCAGTTGTTTTTTTAGAACACCCTGTCCTTATTATGTAACATCGGTATATCAGTATGGCAACCACGCTTATAATAAATAGTACTGATAACTTCAGATATCTTATCTTTTGYGATGTGTTTACTCAGGTCTTAAAGACTGGTCTGGCATAAATACCCCGACTTAAAAGAATTAAACAGCAGTAATCTGCAGTGTATCATGGAAGCGYGATAGACAGGTTAATCATTAAGGTATGCAGTCGAAAATTACCATTGAATACATTATAGTATTGATGAAACTATTACATACATACATGTTATAGAGCTTGAGGCTTCATGCTTGATTAAATTCTTGTTTTAGTGCATATAATCATGGATTTTAATCTTTTTTGCAGGATTATCATCACTGCAGAGCTGCATCGGGGCACAAATGGGCTGAAACAATTTATATAACAAGATGAATAAACATGAAGAATAATAATATACAATAATAACTTGCAATTATTAGCAAAATTTGCATACTTAAAATAATGAAAAACACTTATACACATACACACTGGCACATAGACGTATCATCAGTTTAATAAAATATTCCATTATCAACAGTTCTTGTTTAATCTATAATATAGATATACATGATATACTCCACTGTCAATATTTCTTTCATTTCCTCCATTTGCCTGTTCAGTATTATTGGGCTTCCTGTGCTTTTTCCGTTTGCCGCCAAATATGCAAATTACAACTATTATTATATACGATATGAAGGTCTACGTCCAAAAAATCTTATCAAATATTGGTCTCATACGAATACGCGTTAAATTGAAGGATCAAATTGTTCAAATATAATGTATATAGATCTATTAATACTATAACAGTTTGATACATATTAACGGAAATCAACACGCTTTACAAGTTTTGGCGCGCATTTGCTAAAAGCCATGGAATATTCCATGACGCGCCTTTTCAATCACTTTACAAAGCATTGGTCAAGATCTTTCGATTCATGTGGTGGCTCCTAAAAGAGCCGTTGTTTTGTTGGTTGGAAACAGAAAACTGTTTATTTGCTGCTGGTGTACTTGGTGACGGCCTTGGTGCCTTCACTGACGGCGTGCTTTGCCAATTCACCGGGAAGAAGAAGACGAACAGCGGTCTGGATCTCGCGAGAAGTGATGGTTGACTTCTTGTTGTAGTGAGCAAGGCGAGAAGCTTCACCAGCAATGCGCTCGAACACATCTTGGACAAAGGAGTTCATGATGGACATGGCTTTGCTCGAGATACCAGTGTCGGGATGGACTTGTTTCATGACTTTGTAGATGTAGATGGAGTAGGTTTCCTTTCTCCTTCGTGTCCTCTTCTTCTTGTCACCAAGCGCGGCCTTCTTGCCGGCTTTCTTTTCACCTTTCTTTCCTCCTGCGGGTTTTGGCGGCATTTTCTTTGCGAGTTCTTTGAAGCTTGATGCAATCAAATGATGCTAACACTCAGGG